CCACGGGGCGCACGACGGGCAGGGCACCGTCGAGTGCCACGGGGCGCACGACGGGCAGGGCACCGTCGCGTGCCACGGGGCGCGCGACGGGCAGAAAAGATGTCACGCGCCACCCGGGCGTGGGACAGAACGAAAATCGCCACGCGCCCGAGGCACGCGACCGGAAAAACAGTAGCGGAAGCGTGAGGCGGACCCACAGGCCAGGACTTAACAGCCTCTGATACCATGTCAAGATAGTGAGTGTAGTAGGAGCTAGGTTTAGGTAGGGCCTAGACTTAGTAGCCTAGGCCAAGGGAGTCGAGAGGGTTTGTGCCAAGAGGGAGGGTCGAGAAAAGGATGATGCAATATGAGAAACAAGTACAAGTTATAGTTCAGGAAGGGTGCACCACCAAGCAAGAACAAATGTATGACTACACTACAGCTAGAACTACATGCAGTTATATATAATTCTGACAAGGAGGAGGAAGCGAGGGGGAAGGGGGAGGAGGGCTGGATGGCCCTTCGGAGGAGGAAGCGAGGGGGAAGGGGGAAGAGGGCTGGATGGCCCTTTAGGAGGAGGAAGCGAGGGGACTGGGGAGGAGGGCTGGATGGCCCTTAGGAGGAGGAAGCGAGGGGGAAGGGGGAGGAGGGCTGAATGGCCCTTAGGAGGAGGAAGCGAGGGGGAAGGGGGAGGAGGGCTGGATGGCCCTTAGGAGGAGGAAGCGAGGGGAAGGGGGAGGAGGAGGAAGCGAGGGGGAAGGGGGAGGAGGGCTGGATGGCCCTTAGGAGGAGGAAGCGAGGGGGAAGGGGGAGGAGGGCTGGTTGGCCCTTAGAAAGATGAAGCGAGGGGGAAGGGGGAAGATGGCTGGATGGCCCTTTAGGAGGAGGAAGCGAGGGGACAGGGGAGGAGGGCTGGATAGCCCTTAGGAGGAGGAGGCGAGGGGGAAGGGGGAGGAGGGCTGGATGGCCCTTAGGAGGAGGCGAGGGGGAAGGGGGAGGAGGGCTGGATGGCCCTTAGGAGGAGGAGGAGAAGGGGAAGGGGGAGGAGGGCTGGATGGCCCTTAGGAGGAGGAAGCGAGGGGGAAGGGGGAGGAGGGCTGGTTGGCCCTTAGAAAGATGAAGCGAGGGGGAAGGGGGAAGATGGCTGGATGGCCCTTTAGGAGGAGGAAGCGAGGGGACAGGGGAGGAGGGCTGGATAGCCCTTAGGAGGAGGAGGCGAGGGGGAAGGGGGAGGAGGGCTGGATGGCCCTTAGGAGGAGGAAGCGAGGGGGAAGGGGGAGGAGGGCTGGTTGGCCCTTAGAAAGATGAAGCGAGGGGGAAGGGGGAAGATGGCTGGATGGCCCTTTAGGAGGAGGAAGCGAGGGGACTGGGGAGGAGGGCTGGATGGCCCTTAGGAGGAGGAAGCGAGGGGGAAGGGGGAGGAGGGCTGAATGGCCCTTAGGAGGAGGAAGCGAGGGGGAAGGGGGAGAAGGGCTGGATGGCCCTTAGGAGGAGGAAGCGAGGGGAAGGGGGAGGAGGAGGAAGCGAGGGGGAAGGGGGAGGAGGGCTGGATGGCCCTTAGGAGGAGGAAGCGAGGGGGAAGGGGGAGGAGGGCTGGTTGGCCCTTAGAAAGATGAAGCGAGGGGGAAGGGGGAAGATGGCTGGATGGCCCTTTAGGAGGAGGAAGCGAGGGGACAGGGGAGGAGGGCTGGATGGCCCTTAGGAGGAGGAGGCGAGGGGGAAGGGGGAGGAGGGCTGAATGGCCCTTAGGAGGAGGAAGCGAGGGGGAAGGGGGAGGAGGGCTGGATGGCCCTTAGGAGGAGGAAGCGAGGGGAAGGGGGAGGAGGAGGAAGCGAGGGGGAAGGGGGAGGAGGGCTGGATGGCCCTTAGGAGGAGGAAGCGAGGGGGAAGGGGGAGGAGGGCTGGTTGGCCCTTAGCAAGATGAAGCGAGGGGGAAGGGGGAAGATGGCTGGATGGCCCTTTAGGAGGAGGAAGCGAGGGGACAGGGGAGGAGGGCTGGATGGCCCTTAGGAGGAGGAGGCGAGGGGGAAGGGGGAGGAGGGCTGGATGGCCCTTAGGAGGAGGCGAGGGGGAAGGGGGAGGAGGGCTGGATGGCCCTTAGGAGGAGGAGGCGAGGGGGAAGGGGGAGGAGGGCTGGATGGCCCTTAGGAGGAGGCGAGGGGGAAGGGGGAGGAGGGCTGGATGGCCCTTCGGAGGAGGAGGCGAGGAGGAAGGGGGAGGAGGGCTGGATGGCCCTTTAGGAGGAGGAAGCGAGGGGACTGGGGAGGAGGGCTGGATGGCCCTTAGGAGGAGGAAGCGACGGGGAAGGGGGAGGAGGGCTGGATGGCCCTTAGGAGGAGGAAGCGACGGGGAAGGGGGAGGAGGGCTGGATGGCCCTTAGGAGGAGGAAGCGAGGGGGAAGGGGGAGGAGGGCTGGATGGCCCTCAGGAGCAGGAAGCCATGGGGAAGGGGGAGGAGGGCTGGATGGGCCTTAGGAGCAGGAAGCCATGGGGAAGGGGGAGTTGGGCTGGATGGCCCTTAGGAGGAGGAAGCGAGGGGGAAGTGGGAGGAGGGATGGATGGCCCTTAGGAGGAGGAAGCGAGGGGAAGGGGGAGGAGGGCTGGATGGCCCTTACGAGGAGGAAGCGAGGGGAAGGGGGAGGAGTGTCAAGATAGTGAGTGTAGTAGGAGCTAGGTTTAGGTAGGGCCTAGACTTAGTAGCCTAGGCCAAGGGAGTCGAGAGGGTTTGTGCCAAGAGGGAGGGTCGAGAAAAGGATGATGCAATATGAGAAACAAGTACAAGTTATAGTTCAGGAAGGGTGCACCACCAAGCAAGAACAAATGTATGACTACACTACAGCTAGAACTACATGCAATTCTGACATCCCCCCGTAACTGCATGCAGGAATAGCTAAGTGAAAGACACAACCTGCAGGGGTACACCACAGACAGAGAAAACAGCAACAGCAGGCAAGGCAGCAGAACAGGTTCGGCAGCAAAGGGGCAGGCGACAGCAAGGCACTTCTGCCACCCCCTTACTCTCCTCCCCCCCCGACCACAGGAGGGGCGGCAGGGAGAGAGAGGAGGCGGGCTGGCGCTGGCTGGTCACCCCCTCCATCCCCTCACCCTCCCCCTCCCCCTCCCCCCCACACTGCTGCAGGAGCAGCAGAGGGGGGAAGAGAGGAGAGGTGGAGGGACGGCTGCTGGTTGGTCTCACACCCGCCACCCCAGTGCCACTCCCCCGGCTCCCCCACAACCTCACACCCTCCCCCCCAGCGGCAGCTGCAGCAGTGGGAACGAAAGGAGGAGGAGGGGAAGGGAAGCACACCACCCATCACCCCCACACCCGCCACCCCCATACCCTCCCCCCCACGGCTGCAGGGAGACGAAGGAGGAGGGGGGGGGGCGGGGAGAAAGCCGCAGAGCGGCTACAGAGGGTCGGCGCGGGTAGGGCAGGGGCGGCTGCAGCGAGTGCAGGCGCGGGGTGAGGCAGAGGCGGCTGCACCGAGTGCAGGAGCGGGGGCGGCTGCTCCAAGGGCAGGCGCTGGGTGGTGCAGGGGCGGCTGCACCGAGTGCAGGCGCGGGGTGAGGCAGGGGCACCGTCACGGGCGCCAGGGGCGGGTCCGCGGCGGCGCAGGGCACCGTCGCGGGCGCCAGGGGCGGGTCCGCGGCGGCTCAGGGCACCGTCGCGGGCGCCAGGGGCGGGTCCGCGACAGCGCAGGGCACCGTCGCGGGCGCCAGGGGCGGGTCCGCGGCGGCTCAGGGCACCGTCGCGCACCACGGGGCACGCGACGGGCAGTTCAGGGCACCGTCGCGTGCCACGGGGCGCACGACGGGCAGGGCACCGTCGAGTGCCACGGGGCGCACGACGGGCAGGGCACCGTCGCGTGCCACGGGGCGCGCGACGGGCAGAAAAGATGTCACGCGCCACCCGGGCGCGGGACAGAACGAAAATCGCCACGCGCCCGAGGCACGCGACCGGAAAAACAGTAGCGGAAGCGTGAGGCGGACCCACAGGCCAGGACTTAACAGCCTCTGATACCATGTCAAGATAGTGAGTGTAGTAGGAGCTAGGTTTAGGTAGGGCCTAGACTTAGTAGCCTAGGCCAAGGGAGTCGAGAGGGTTTGTGCCAAGAGGGAGGGTCGAGAAAAGGATGATTCAATATGAGAAACAAGTACAAGTTATAGTTCAGGAAGGGTGCACCACCAAGCAAGAACAAATGTATGACTACACTACAGCTAGAACTACATGCAGTTATATATAATTCTGACAAGGAGGAGGAAGCGAGGGGGAAGGGGGAGGAGGGCTGGATGGCCCTTCGGAGGAGGAAGCGAGGGGGAAGGGGGAAGAGGGCTGGATGGCCCTTTAGGAGGAGGAAGCGAGGGGACTGGGGAGGAGGGCTGGATGGCCCTTAGGAGGAGGAAGCGAGGGGGAAGGGGGAGGAGGGCTGAATGGCCCTTAGGAGGAGGAAGCGAGGGGGAAGGGGGAGGAGGGCTGGATGGCCCTTAGGAGGAGGAAGCGAGGGGAAAGGGGAGGAGGAGGAAGCGAGGGGGAAGGGGGAGGAGGGCTGGATGGCCCTTAGGAGGAGGAAGCGAGGGGGAAGGGGGAGGAGGGCTGGTTGGCCCTTAGAAAGATGAAGCGAGGGGGAAGGGGGAAGATGGCTGGATGGCCCTTTAGGAGGAGGAAGCGAGGGGACAGGGGAGGAGGGCTGGATAGCCCTTAGGAGGAGGAGGCGAGGGGGAAGGGGGAGGAGGGCTGGATGGCCCTTAGGAGGAGGCGAGGGGGAAGGGGGAGGAGGGCTGGATGGCCCTTAGGAGGAGGAGGCGAAGGGGAAGGGGGAGGAGGGCTGGATGGCCCTTAGGAGGAGGCGAGGGGGAAGGGGGAGGAGGGCTGGATGGCCCTTAGGAGGAGGAAGCGAGGGGGAAGGGGGAGGAGGGCTGGTTGGCCCTTAGAAAGATGAAGCGAGGGGGAAGGGGGAAGATGGCTGGATGGCCCTTTAGGAGGAGGAAGCGAGGGGACAGGGGAGGAGGGCTGGATGGCCCTTAGGAGGAGGAGGCGAGGGGGAAGGGGGAGGAGGGCTGAATGGCCCTTAGGAGGAGGAAGCGAGGGGGAAGGGGGAGGAGGGCTGGATGGCCCTTAGGAGGAGGAAGCGAGGGGAAGGGGGAGGAGGAGGAAGCGAGGGGGAAGGGGGAGGAGGGCTGGATGGCCCTTAGGAGGAGGAAGCGAGGGGGAAGGGGGAGGAGGGCTGGTTGGCCCTTAGCAAGATGAAGCGAGGGGGAAGGGGGAAGATGGCTGGATGGCCCTTTAGGAGGAGGAAGCGAGGGGACAGGGGAGGAGGGCTGGATGGCCCTTAGGAGGAGGAGGCGAGGGGGAAGGGGGAGGAGGGCTGGATGGCCCTTAGGAGGAGGCGAGGGGGAAGGGGGAGGAGGGCTGGATGGCCCTTAGGAGGAGGAGGCGAGGGGGAAGGGGGAGAAGGGCTGGATGGCCCTTAGGAGGAGGCGAGGGGGAAGGGGGAGGAGGGCTGGATGGCCCTTCGGAGGAGGAGGCGAGGAGGAAGGGGGAGGAGGGCTGGATGGCCCTTTAGGAGGAGGAAGCGAGGGGACTGGGGAGGAGGGCTGGATGGCCCTTAGGAGGAGGAAGCGACGGGGAAGGGGGAGGAGGGCTGGATGGCCCTTAGGAGGAGGAAGCGACGGGGAAGGGGGAGGAGGGCTGGATGGCCCTTAGGAGGAGGAAGCGACGGGGAAGGGGGAGGAGGGCTGGATGGCCCTTAGGAGGAGGAAGCGACGGGGAAGGGGGAGGAGGGCTGGATGGCCCTTAGGAGGAGGAAGCAAGGGGGAAGGGGGAGGAGGGCTGGATGGCCCTTAGGAGGAGGAAGCGAGGGGGAAGGGGGAGAAGGGCTGGATGGCCCTTATGAGGAGGAAGCGAGGGGGAAGGGGGAGGAGGGCTGGATGGCCCTTATGAGGAGAAAGCGAGGGGGAAGGGGGAGGAGGGCTGGATGGCCCTTAGGAGGAGGAAGCGAGGGGGAAGGGGGAGGAGGGCTGGATGGCCCTTAGGAGGAGGAAGCGATGGGGAAGGGGGAGGAGGGCTTTATGGCCCTTAGGAGGAGGAAGCGAGGGGGAAGTGGGAGGAGGGATGGATGGCCCTTAGAAGGAGGAAGCGAGGGGGAAGGGGGAGGAGGGTTGGATGGCCCTTAGGAGCAGGAAGCGAGGGGGAAGGGGGAGGAGGGCAGGATGGCCCTGAGGAGGAGGAAGCGATGAGGAAGGGGGAGGAGGGCTGGATGGCCCTTAGAGCGTGTCTCCATTTTGCCCCCCCTTGGTTCGAACCGTCGACCGTTCGAACCGTGGGGTGGTTACTGTTTTCGTTAGGATTCGCCTCTGTGTTCGCGAGTATGCATGCGACGTCGCATACACACCGCAACGGGGTGTCACTTTTCCCACTTTTGTGAGGCCGAAACTGCGGTTCATTCGCCGTTCATTTTCGGAACGGACGAATCAACAGTACTTCACAGTTCTGCATTCGGGTTGGCGCGCGAATATGGCAGGTTGGTTTCAACATTTGAAAGCTTCGAGAGTGATGAGTTGGTTTCAACATTTGAATTCGAGCCGCGTTTTTTTTAGTGGCGAAAATCACGAAATTCGTAAAAGGTGTTACGCATGCACAGTAAACTGAAATTTCGAAATCATGAAAAAAAGTGTCACCCCGTCGTCCGTTCGTGCTTCCGTCCAATATTCGTCCGCTAGAGGTTCGATACGCGTTAAATGGACGGTCCGCTATTGTTATAGCGAACTTCGGGTAAAAGTGAAATGGAGACACGCTCTTAGGAGGAGGAAGCGAGGGGAAGGGGGAGGAGGAGGAAGCGAGGGGGAAGGGGGAGGAGGGCTGGATGGCCCTTAGGAGGAGGAAGCGAGGGGGGAGGGGGAAGAGGGCTGGATGGCCCTTTAGGAGGAGGAAGCGAGGGGACTGGGGAGGAGGGCTGGATGGCCCTTAGGAGCAGGAAGCGAGGGGGAAGGGGGAGGAGGGCTGGATGGCCCTTAGGAGGAGGATGCGAGGGGGAAGGGGGAGGAGGGCTGGATGGCCCTTAGGAGGAGGAAGCGATGGGGAAGGGGGAGGAGGGCTTCATGGCCCTTAGGAGGAGGAAGCGAGGGGGAAGTGAGAGGAGGGATGGATGGCCCTTAGAAGGAGGAAGCGAGGGGGAAGGGGGAGGATGGTTGGATGGCCCTTAGGAGCAGGAAGCTAGGGGGAAGGGGGAGGAGGGCTGGATGGCCCTTAGGAGGAGGAAGCGAGGGGGAAGGGGGAGGAGGGCTGGATGGCCCTTAGGAGGAGGAAGCGAGGGGGAAGGGGGAGGAGGGCTGGATGGCCCTTAGGAGGAGGAAGCGAGGGGGAAGGGGGAGGAGGGCTGGATGGCCCTTAGGAGGAGGAAGCGAGGGGGAAGGGGGAGGAGGGCTGGATGGCCCTTAGGAAGATGAAGCGATGGGGAAGGGGGAAGAGGGCTGGATGGCCGTTAGGAGGAGGAAGCAAGGGGGAAGTGGGAGGAGGGCTGGATGGCCCTTAGGAGGAGGAAGCGAGGGGGAAGGGGGAGGAGGGATTGATGGCCCTTAGGAGGAGGAAGCGAGGGGGAAGGGGGAGCAGGGCTGGATGGCCCTTTGTAGGAGGAAGCGAGGGGAAGGGGGAGGAGGGAGGGGGGGGGGGGGAGCGTGGTGAAGATGCGAATGAATGCGTTAAGGAGCAGAGTGAGGCATCGAAAAAAACTGACGGGCGAAATGCCCTCAGGAGCAGAATTGACGGGCGAAATGCCCTCGGTAGCGGAATTGAAGGAGCGAAATGCCCTCGGTAGCGGAATTGAAGGAGCGAAATGCCCTCAGGAGCGGAAATGACGGGCGAAATGCCCTCGGGAGCGGAAATGACTGGCGAAATGCCCTCGGTAGTGGAATTGAAGGAGCGAAATGCCCTCGGTAGCGGAATTGAAGGAGCGAAATGCCCTCGGGAGCGGAAATGACGGGCGAAATGCCCTCGGGAGCAGAATTGACGGGCGAAATGCCCTCGGGAGCGGAACAGACGGGCGAAATGCCCTTGGGAGAGGAACTGACGGGCGAAATGCCCTCGGGGGCGGAGTTGACGGGCGAAATGCTCTTGGGAGCGGAATTGACGGGTGCAATGCCCTCGAGAGCGGGATTGACGGGCGAAATGGTAGACGCGTTCGTCGCGCTGGTTGCGTCGGGCAAGTGCCGCAAATGCCGCAAAGGAAAGCCCGAGGGAGGGGGGCGGGCTGGTGGTGCAAGGGCCATTAAGGTGGGACGTGGCCGAGGATCACCTAGGACTGCACAGTCCCTGGAGGTGCCTAGGGAAGGGGAAGTTGGCGTTAGCCAAAACAGCTCGATACCATGTGAGAATCCCATAGTTGGGATGAGGTGTGAACTCAAGAGTTAATTGTATTAAGGAAAACGTTGGGCTTACATGGGAGAAAGAAAAGCGAGGAAACTAGGAGGTGCGCTCTCATAATTATTCGTTGGCCAACATTGTTGGTTACCCAATAATGGTTGGGGCGAGCCACCACTTATTGGGGGACCAATAATTGGTTGGCCGAGGCCACCAAAGTGGCCCCCGTCAATTGTGGCGTAGGGGGGGGTTGGGGTGCCCCAAACCAAAGTGGTTGGGGCGCCTCGAACAAAGTGTACACCCAGATTTGGTTGTAACACTAGCACGACTATAACATCATAGGATATATTTTAACAAAACGCACCTGTACAACGTGCTGGCAGGCGTCCTGATGGCTACCAAGAAGCTTCCTCAGCTGGTGGAATTGGAGATTGGGGAGCAGCGGAGCAATAAACCTACGCTTCTTGATGGCGCGCTCAGTGTGAGTGTGGTGGTGGTGGTGGTGATTGTGCTGGCTGTGGTGGTGATTGTGCTGGCTGTGGTGGTGATTGTGCTGGCTGTGGTGGTGATTGTGCTGGCTGTGGTGGTGATTGTGCTGGCTGTGGTGGTGATTCTGCTGGCTGTGGTGGTGATTCTGCTGGCTGTGGTGGTGATTCTGCTGGCTGTGGTGGTGATTGTGCTGGCTGTGGTGGTGATTGTGCTGGCTGTGGTGGTGATTGTGCTGGCTGTGGTGGTGATTGTGCTGGCTGTGGTGGTGATTGTGCTGGCTGTGGTGGTGATGGTGCTGGCTGTGGTGGTGATTGTGCTGGCTGTGGTGGTGATTGTGCTGGCTGTGGTGGTGATTGTGCTGGGTGTGGTGGTAATTGTGCTGGCTGTGGTGGTGATTGTGCTGGGTGTGGTGGTGATTGTGCAGGCTGTGGTGGTGATTGTGCTGGCTGTGGTGGTGATTGTGCTGGCTGTAGTGGTGATTGTGCTGGGTGTGGTGGTTATTGTGCTGGGTGTGGTGGTGATTGTGCTGGCTGTGGTGGTGATTGTGCTGGCTGTGGTGGTGATTGTGCTGGGTGTGGTGGTGATTGTGCTGGGTGTGGTGGTGATTGTGCTGGGTGTGGTGGTGATTGTGCTGGCTGTGGTGGTGATTGTGCTGGGTGTGGTGGTGATTGTGCTGGGTGTGGTGGTGATTGTGCTGGGTGTGGTGGTGATTGTGCTGGGTGTGGTGGTGATTGTGCTGGTGATTGTCCTAGGTGTGGTGGTGATTGTGCTGGGTATGGTGGTGATTGTGCTGGGTGTGGTGGTGATTGTCCTAGGTGTGGTGGTGATTGTCCTGGGTGTGGTGGTGATTCTCCTGGCTGTGGTGGTGATTGTGCTGGCTGTGGTGGTGATGGTGCTGGCTGTGGTGGTGATGGTGCTGGCTGTGGTGGTGATGCTGCTGGCTGTGGTGGTGATTCTGCTGGCTGTGGTGGTGATTCGGCTGGCTGTGGTGGTGATTCTGCTGGCTGTGGTGGTGATTCTGCTGGCTGTGGTGGTGATGGTGCTGGCTGTGGTGGTGATGGTGCTGGCTGTGGTGGTGATGGTGCTGGCTGTGGTGGTGATGGTGCTGGCTGTGGTGGTGATGGTGCTGGCTGTGGTGGTGATGGTGCTGGCTGTGGTGGTGATGGTGCTGGCTGTGGTGGTGATGGTGCTGGCTGTGGTGGTGATGGTGCTGGCTGTGGTGGTGATGGTGCTGGCTGTGGTGGTGATGGTGCTGGCTGTGGTGGTGATTGTGCTGGGTGTGGTGGTGATGGTGCTCGCTGTGGTGTTGATTGTGCTGGGTGTGGTGGTGATTGTGCTGGGTGTGGTGGTGATTGTGCTGGGTGTGGTTGTGATTGTGCTGGGTGTGGTGGTGATTGTGCTGGGTGTGGTGGTGATTGTGCTGGGTGTGGTGCTGATTGTGCTGGGTGTGGTGCTGATTGTGCTGGGTGTGGTGGTGATTGTGTTGGCTGTGGTGGTGATTGTGCTGGCTGTGGTGGTGATTGTGCTGGCTGTGGTGGTGATTATGCTGGGTAGAGATGTGCACTGAGTCGAGATTCTCAACTCGACTCGATCGGAGGACTCGACACGGGTCGAGTGACGAGTTCGAGAATCGGCTGAAAAAACTCGGTCGAGCCGAGTCGAGTTTCACCTGTCGAGTTTTTTTAGACTCTGTGAAAACTCGGTCTTGGTCTTGAGTTTTTTTTAACTCGACATTCTATGAGGGGTTCACTTACAAGAGGTGAACATTGCAGTTTGGCGGGGTCATTTGTGGATCTCGATTTCAGTCATGGTTCTTCCTAAGCATAACGTCACTAGTATCCACAACCCTGATAGCCATTAGGGGCAATCTAGATCTAGGTTAAGACTAAGTTAAGATCGCGGGTTTCAGATCCGGAGGGTCGCGATTAGGGTTTCCTGCACTGAAAACGCAACTATTTGAAGGCCGATCTACAGCTTTTAGGACGGCGAAGTTCAATCAGGGGGTGATTAAGAATGTAAACGGCGGGAAATGTGGAACGGGAGGGTCTAGCCGTGGCGATCATGCGGGAGTGGGGGGGGGGGGGGGGGGGGGGGGGGGGCAAGATTTGACGGGCACGCAGCGCCGCAGGCTACATGCTATTGCTGCGGCTGCAGATATTGAGCGCGCGCAGAAAGCGGCCGCGGACAACCTCGGTTCAGCCGGGAAAGGGGTAAACCAGGGCGTAACCGAGAAGGGGACAGGAACGGCTCCTCCTCCACGTGGTAGTGGTTGTATGGGGGTGGGGAGTGGGGCGTTGGAGGGGGGGCTGAGAGAGGAGAGACCTCTATGGGTGGTGGTGGTGGTGGTGAGATCGGAGAGGAGGTGGAGAGGGATAAGGGTTGGGGAATGCGCGAGAGTATAGGCGATGGTGAAGGCGGCGATTTAGGGACAGCCGAGGTCCTTGGTGACACCGTCATGGCCGATGGTGCGGGTGATGAGGAGAGGGAGGTGGAAGATAAGGAAGGGTCGGAGGAGGGTGGCAAGGAGGATGAGGAGTCCGAGGGAGAGTAGTCGGAGGAGGACGGTGACAACTCCGAGGAGGAGATGTACGCCCCCACTGATAAGGAGCGTGCGCGAATGCGAACTGACGACGATGACATGGTTGATTTGGTGGAGGAGGAGGGAGACGAGAATGGAGATGGTGGAGTTGTCGGTGGGAGGAAGAGAATTCGTGGTGAAGGGGGGGCGGGAAAGAAGCAGCGGGGCGGGCGTAAGGGTGGTGGGGGGCGGAAAGGGAAAGGGCAGGGCGGGCGGGGTCGTGGTAGAGGAGGTAGTGGGTTGGGCGTAGGTGGGGGGAGCGGATTGGGCAGCCAGCCAATGCCTGGTCCTTCAAATCCATCTGCTGCCACCAATGCCACCACACCTTGGGCCACACCCACTAGTACTGTGAAGGGGAAGGTCCCTCGCTGTTTTGAGAGGCCTGTGCCTGACAAACCGGATTTCAAGCGCCGCTGCCGCAAGTGCAACATGTGGATCAGCTTTGCGGGGGGCACGAACTTCACAGGAGAGGGGCACATGATTTCCAAGCACAAGGCCCATTGGGACATTTGGGAGCGGAAGTTCAAGGCGGGGGAAATTGGGTCGGATGACTATTTGCCTGAGGGTGGATACGGGAAAGGAGAAGTTCCGAAGGGGAGGACCTTTGGATAGGCTCGCAAACGTGGTCCGAGCCTCCTCCCGTCCAGGGGGGGGTCGTCGGGCCAGCAGCTGATGACAGCGTACTATGGGGAGCGATTCGACAAGAGTGTCCTACATCAGGCGTTGGTTGAGTTCGTGGTCGGGACCGACCAGGCCTTCGGTGTTGTCGAGCATCCCACGGTGCCTCACTGTCCTTGATATGTACTTGCCATGGCACGTCGCATCATCAACCCACCTCTTCTCTTCCATCCGACTCAAGCCGAGTTGTCCTCGATCCAAAGTCATACGCGTGGTGCTTGAGCTCTTCTACATGTATTACATCCACTCTGCTCTACTGCCCCACACCACATGCAGTTTCTTAACCTGATGGTCGTGGCCAACCCGAGGAGCGTGTCATCCCGACGCGCACCACGCTCGCGCGACAGCTCATGCGCCTGGCGAAGTTGGCTCAGGAGAGGTTGAAGGAGGAGCTTAATGTTGAGGGTGTTGGAGCCGTGGCGATGACGCATGACATATGGACTGGGGAGAACCATAGGTCTTACATGGCGGCCACGGGTCACTGCCTGACTTCGAGCTCACGCAGGTAACCCTAGATTTCAGGGCGCTGCCAGCCGAACACACGAAGGAAAAGATAGTGGAGGCGTTGGAGGAGGTGGTGCGCGATTGGGGATTGGAGGGGCGCACCAGCGCGGTGACAATGGACAATGCATCGTCCAATGTCCCCGCGATGGAGTAATTGTGCCGTGGAGGAGCGGGAGATCGGCAGCCTCTCATGTTCTCCTCAGGCATGCACGTCCGGTACACGTCCAGTAAGCTCACAACACTCATTGACACTGCACTTGCCTCGCGTCATTGGTGATTGATTGCTTGGTTTGTAGTTACCGTGATGCAATCTCTTGTGACCCGAGCTGAATGGCCGTGCCATGGCATGTGTCCTGTTCTGTTATACTCCATCCTTCCCCAACGGTTGCATAGGTGCCTCGCTCGCATCTGCAACCTAGCCGTCCAGCTAGCGTTGAAGAATGTGAGCAAGATCGCAACGTCACTGGCTCTCCTCAGAGAGTTGGCGACCTTCATTGGCTATTCGCCAAAGCGGACAGGAGCCTTTGGGGGCATTTAGAGGGAGGAGAACCAGAGTGCGCCGACTTGGGCGATCCTGAGGCTGCGTCTGAACAGCGAGGTTCGTTGGGGTTCGACGTACCTTATGCTCGAGCGCGCCCTTCGCCTCCACCATGCCCTCGACAACTTTGTGCGACGTGCACCTGTAAGAGCTTGACCCAACCCCCCTTTGCTGTTGGCGTAATTTTATAAACGATGCAAATGCCTCGGGCTATGATCGCCCCCAATGTAGTACGACCATAACCATGTGCCATGACTGCTTTCCACCTATGCCCCCATCGCAACCCATTACATATCCAACAGCTTTGCAACGCTAGGGACGCTGCACGCCTGCAGTCCCTGCAGATCACAAACGAGATGTGGAAGGATTTGGAGGAGCTCGCCAACTTTCTACGACCATTTCATGCTGCTGAGGGGTCCACCTACCCCACCATCAACAGGGTGGTCCCACAGTTCAATGAGCTCCTGGACGAGCTCGAGAGGACGAGGGACTGCACGACCACTCCACCCTCCCAGGTCTTGCTGGGGTGCATTGAGGCCGCCCTGGGGAAGTTGGCAGAGTATTATGACGGCAGCAGCGACGAGCTGATGATTGCCACATTCCTGGACCCGAGCTTCAAGCTCGGGTATTTCAAGCTGCCTCCAAGCGAGGAAGGGGGGGAGACGAGGGAGGGGGGGGGGGGGGGGAGGCAGAGCCGCACATTGATGCAGGGAAGGTCCTTGCCATGGTACGGGCGAGGTATCGCCCGTACTTAGAGAAAGCACGGCTGGCCCGGGAGAAGGCAGAGGGGAGTGCAGGGGGGCAGAGGGTACTGGCAGGCACCAGCGGCAGGGTTGTGGGGGTGGGCAGCAGAAGGGGGGGGAGGGGCCTGGGCACCAATGCCTTTGGTGGCAAGGATGGAGACCGTAGGGGGCTGGTGGCTCATCTAGTGGCGTACCGCGACCGTCGGGCACCCACGGTCATGGACGAGATCCAGATTTACCCGGGCGAGCGACTGGAGTCATTGGACATTGACCCGCTCGCGTACTGACACCGCATGACAGATCTTGAGGGTCTGCGGGCCATGGCCTTGGATTATTTGGCCATCCCAGCTACGTCGGCTGCTAGGGAGCGTCTGATCTTACAGGGACGCAACCTCATTACATGGCAGGGACATGGACTTGGGCCCGAGCGAGTGCGGGCATGCATGATCCTTAAGTCGTGGATCGACTTGCACCACGGGTGCCAGCTGGGGAAAACGGCCAAGGTTTGCTTGCAAAAGGCGGAGGTGGAGGCGGTTGGGTTGGAGATGGAGGACGTTCTGTGAGGGGGTTGAGTGTGGGAGAGTGTGTGTGCGGTTGGTTGGTTTGTTGGTTTATGCTAACCTATGGTCCTGCCGTTGCTTTTGTGCCCTTTAACTCCCCCAAACGCTCACCATGGCGCTAGACCTGGCTCTCCTTGCCCTAAACCAGCAAGCACCGTAGACTAAGTTATTGTTGTTATTTCGTTGCATGCATGCATTTGCTGTTGAAATCCGAGTAGATTGTGTGCATCAAATGCACCCTACTGTTTTGTAAGGGTCCTAAACGTGTAGCAGTATATGGCGTACAATAATATAGGGTGTACAACAAATAACCTTGACAAAAAATGAGCCTCAAGCCCAACTTATGTATGGTGTGTCCCCCCCCCCCCCCTCCCCCCCCCTCGATTCGAATTTTACTCGGCTCGGCCGAGTGTAAGAATAAAGCCCGTCGAGTTTTGTAAAACTCGCCCCCATGAAGGCGAGTTTCGGGTCTAGCACCCAGAGAAAAACACTCGATCGAGTTTCCCCCGACTGAACTCGAACTCGGTCGAGTCTTCACCAGACCGAGTCGAGTAAAACTCGACTCGGTCCGATGCTCATGTCTAATGCTGGGTGTGGTGGTGATTCTGGTGGGTTTGGTGATGATTGTGCTGGGTGTGGTGGTGATTGTGCTGGCTGTGCTGGTGATTATGCTGGGTGTGGTGGTGATTGTGATGGCTGTGGTGCTGATTGTGCTGGCTGTGGTGCTGATTGTGCTGGGTGTGGTGGTGATTGTCCTGGGTGTGGTGGTGATTGTCTTGGGTGGTGATTGTCCTGGGTGTGGTGGTGATTCTGCTGGGTGTGGTGGTGATTGTGCTGGCTGTGATGGTGATTGTGCTGGCTGTGGTGGTGATGGTGCTGGCTGTGGTGGTGATTGTGCTGGCTGTGGTGGTGATTGTGCTGGCTGTGGTGGTGATGGTGCTGGCTGTGGTGGTGATTGTGCTGGGTCTGGTGGTAATTGTGCTGGCTGTGGTGGTGATTGTGCTGGGTGTGGTGGTGATTGTGCTAGGTGAGGTGGTGATTGTGCTGGCTGTGGTGGTGATTGTGCTGGCTGTGCTGGTGATTGTGCTGGCTGTGGTGGTGATGGTGCTGGCTGTGGTGGTGATTGTGCTGGCTGTGGTGGTGATTGTGCTGGCTGTGGTGGTGATTGTGCTGGGTCTGGTGGTAATTGTGCTGGCTGTGGTGGTGATTGTGCTGGCTCTGGTGGTGATTGTGCTGGGTGAGGTGGTGATTGTGCTGGCTATGGTGGTGATTGTGCTGGCTGTGCTGGTGATTGTGCTGGGTGTGGTGCTGATTGTGCTGGTTGTGGTGGTGATTGTGCTCAATGTGGTGGTGATTTTGCTGGCTGTGGTAGTGATTATGCCGGGTGTGGTGGTGATTGTGCTGGCTGTGGTGGTGATTGTGCTGGCTGTAGTGGTGATTTTGCTGGGTCTGGTGGTGATTCTGTTAGGTGTGGTGGTGATTGTGCTGGCTGTGGTGGTGTTTGTGCAGGGTGTGGTGGTGATTGTGCTGGGTGGGGTGGTGATTGTGCTGGCTGTGGTGCTGATTGTGCTGGCTGTGGTGCTGATTGTGCAGGGTGTGGTGCTGATTGTGCAGGGTGTGGTGCTGATTGTGCTGGGTGTGGTGGTGATTGTGCTGGGTGTGGTGGTGATTGTGCTAGATGTGGTGGTGATTGTGCTGGGTGTGGTGGTGATTGTGCTGGATGTGGTGGTGATTGTGCTGGCTGTGGTGGTGATTGTGCTGGCTATGGTGGTGATTGTGCTAGGTGTGGTGGTGATTGTGCTGGCTGTGGTGGTGATTGTGCTGGGTGTGGTGGTGATTATGCTGGGTGTGGTGGTGATTGTGCTTTGTGTGGTGGTGACTGTGCTGGGTGTGGTGGTGATTGTGCTGGGTGTGGTGGTGATTATGCTGGGTGTGAAGGTGATTATGCTGGGTGTGGTGGTGATTATGGTGGGTGTGGTGGTGATTATGCTGGGTGTTGTGGTGTTTGTGCTGGGTGTGGTGGTGATTCTGCTGGGTGTGGTGGTGATTGTGCTGGCTATGGTGGTAATTATGCTGGGTGTGGTGGTGATTGTGCTGTGTGTGGTGGTGATTGTGCTGGGTGTGGTGGTGATTGTACTGGCTGTCGTGGTAATTGTGCTGGGTGTGGTGGTGATTGTGCTGGGTTTGGTGGTGATTGTACTGGGTGTGGTGGTGATTGTGCTAGGCGTGGTGATGGTTGTGCTGGCTGTGGTGGTGATTGTGCTGGGCGTGGTGATGGTTGTGCTGGGCGTGGTGGTGATTACGGTGGCGACTCCAAACTCGCCCACCAGAATGGGCCGGCCTATCTGCAGAATTGATGGTTGTGTTGGGTGTGGGTGTGGTGTGGTGTGGTGTGGTATATTGTGGTTTGGTGGTTAAACTGGATGGGCCAGCCAATCTGCAGGATTGATGTGGTTGTGGGTGTGATGGTGGTGGCTGCACTGAGTGTGGTGGTGGTGCATGTTGTGTGAATACTTGTAGGTGCACTGTGAGTGCGTGGTGCGTGTGTATTGGTCTCACGGTACTTGTAACTAGTGAGTGTATCAAATATCAGCCAGTGGTTTGAGCCAAAAGAATCAAGTTTCAACACCAACCCCACCTCACCCACCCTTTTTCCCTCCACCTTACCCCACACCCCCAATTCCTTACCAACCTCCTTCCCCCACCCCCTGTCCCCTCTCCCTCCCTCTCCTCCCCCCCCCCCCCAAACCCCCCCCAATAGGGCGGCCTATCCTGGTGGGCGAGTTTGGGGTGGCGATGGCGAGTCTGGGCACCACAGAGGAGCAGCAGAAGGAGTTCACTCTCGCTCAGATGCAGGCGCTGGGGCATTCGCAGGTAGAATGGTTCTTCTGGTCCTGGAAACTCAATGTCACAGGTACGTGAAGTACATTGGGCTGTGGAGCTGAACGGGATGTGGGATCATGCTTATACAATGTGCAAAGCTATTTGGGCTACACAATATTTTTATGTTCTTTTCTAATTCTCCTGTTTGTTGTGAAACGTTCTCGCGAATTGTGTGTGCTCGGTTGTTTCTGCAGGCAAAGCCAAGTGGCAGTTTCTACTTAGCATGGCCATGGGATGGTTACCTAAAAAGGACGATGGAAACTGCTATTGATTGATGCTTATCAGCATTTGACATTATAAATATGCACACTGCCGTACAGGCATGCTGATGGATGAGCATGCACTGGCCAACCTGGTGTCCAGATTAGTGTTCAGGGTTTTGTTTATACTGATTTTGGCAGTGTGAAGATGCTAAGTAACTGAACCATCAGTGTAAAAGGGAAAAATAAGCTGTCTCACCAGTGCTAAGTTGTAGGAGTTGATGTATTGTCATTGCTGTTTTATTTACTTTGGACAGGAAACATTGCACTGCATTGCATGCAGTGCCGGCCCTCTTGCAAACACACATCACATCATTATAACAGCACTAGATCTACATGCCATCATCATCATCACCCTCATCTCCACTACTACCACCATCATCACTCTCAATATTGTCGCTAGCAGAACAATGCGTGCTCTCGTCGAGCTCCTGCACCACCCAGCAGCCACCCCCCCCAACACATTTGGCTCGTACTCTGTCTGCCACTGCTTGATCCTTGCGCTTGCTGGGCCACTTTTTCTTGGTGCTCCTCCAAAGCTCCACCACCTTCTCCCCGTTCATGTCGTAGTCGAGCAGGCTCAACGCCATCAGATCTCCCAGCTTGGCATTGCAGAGGCTCGTCCGGCGCTAACTCGTGATGACATTCTGGCGGGAGAAGCCGCGTTCACACTCGACTGTGCTGATTGGCAGAACAGCCACCGCAACCCACAGACGGACTAGGTTGGGGTAGCTGCTCTGCCAATCGGCTGTCCTCAAGATGGCTGACAAACCGGAATGAAACGACTGCTCCTCCTTGGGAGTAGATGAGAGAACCGGCAACAACGTGCGCAGCTCCACACGAGCCGCACGCTTCTGGACAACTGCCATGACCGTCACACAGACACAAACGGGAAGAGAGTCAAACACACTAGTAGCAGGAAAATGCCAGCGACACAAAGAGCAGATTTGTGTCAATGTTAGACAAATGTACGCGTCTGTATAATGCAAAACTTGAAACAGAACAGGGGACGAGGATTTCTCACCAGGTAAGATAGTGTCTCTGTTCTTGGCTTGAAAGATATGGATACGGCCGTGCAGGTGCTCCTTGCACTCGGCCTCTCTCGCCTCGACACCCCTCGGCCACGTGCGGGGCATGAAGCGCGTCAGGTCCCCCAAGCGCAACTCCAAGTTGTACACAAGCTCGCGGGCAAATGAGCGGCAGCAGGTGGTACATCCTTGCATGTCGCCGCTGCTCGTGGCATATCCCAGCACAGAGTCCTCGTGCAGGTGAAACTGGTGTACCCAGGGCTGACCTTCCCTGTCCACCCCCTACACAGTCACTTCACGGCATTCTGGCGAGCTGTTCCGCACGAGGAAGGCCGACAGCAACTCGCTGGTCCCACCGCCGAATTGCTGGCCACATTCGATGTACATCCGCTCGATGTAAATGATGGTCCGCCTCACTTGGGAGTGGACTTCAGTGAGGTCAGCCAGTTGGGCGGGAGGGATAAGGAACAGTTCAACACCAAGATTAGTACTCGCGACGAGACATGCGTCATATGTACTTAAAACAACAACTCACCTCGCGTCTATGGAAGAGTAGGTTCAGCGCGTTCAGTGCCATGTGCATATCTGCCAGGAAGTACAGGAACAAATGGAACTTGAACGACGTGACCACGCGGTACATCGTTTCGTCTGTCAGCTCGAGCAAGACGATGACAGCAGGCAGAACCCGGACGAGTCGTGCGATCGCCTCGCCTCGGCTCAACTAGCAGATGGCGTGAATATCTCCTGTAGCTCCTTGAATTTGAGGTGCGAGTTGTTCAACCTGCCAAGATCTTCCGCCACAGAACGGATGACAGCGTCGATCATGCCAAGCTTGGGTAGTGCCCTAGCAGCATCACGTGCTGCTAGCGCCTCCCTGCCAAAGGAAAGAGGGCACACACGAATCGTTAGTGTCAACACATGTAGACGGATAATCAACATTGATATATAAACAAGCATACCCGTGCGCAATGCAGTGACAAGACACCACGTGAGGAATCTGCAGCCGAAGACGCCCAACAACAACAGTGTCCTTGCCAATCATCACCGGAGCCCCATCCGCCACCTTCTCCAGCGGAAGGCTAACACTGTCGAGATATCTACTGAACACGGCATGAAGTGAAGCTGCGTCACATTTCTCAATGGAAAGGTGCGTTAGGGACTCGGTTACGACAGCATGTTTACGAAGAAACGTGACAAAGACTACCATGTGCTTCCCTCTGACACGGTCGGTACTCTCGTCGCAGCTCCGGCCAATGAACGGACTTGAGTCTATGTATTCTCGTTGGCGCGCACGAAGGTAAGTCGCCGTTGCGACGGTAAGCTCCTGAAAACCGTACATGCACGGTCGGAAACAGAAATAGTAAGTTATTTTATGCAACAAATTCAACACTGTACAGACATTGCTCCAAACAATGTTACTCACGTTGTGTAATAGGCACCGTATCCCTTCTTCGGGAAGCCAGGAGTGCCCCGCTCCGCCAGATGTCGAGCAAGATCCACCCACATCTTGATGGGTGCGTCCGATTTGGCGATGAACAACAGGGTCTCAAGGAGCGCGATCATGCGCTCCTGCTCGATGTCCTTCGCCTTCGGGTTGTCGTCGAGTTGTCGGTTTGCCTTGAGTGCTGCCAATGCCGTCGCTTGTTTACGCAGAGCTCGACGGTGCTTCCTAGTGCGCTGGTGCTTCCGCATAGCTTGGGTCTGCACATCGGTCGCCCCTTCACCTTTGCGACCGAAGTTTGTTCCTACGCCAGCGTGCTCAATGCAGACGGTGCACTTCATGGACTAGAAGCATGTGCTCGTCTGACAAATAACAAGCCACGGATAGTCATCAGACCATTGTTTCTTAAACATAAACAGCGCTTCCTGATAAATTTTCTCTGCAGTGTCAGGCAGTTCCGTATTGGAAGTGACATCAACCGCTTACGCCACGAATTTACGCCTTGGAGCATGAGGGGAGGAGTTCCCGAGACCAGACGTGGGCGACGCTTGACTAGCACCCCAGTGGATCTTTGTCTGGTGGTACTTGACGTCGATTCCGTTTTCGAGAGGCGGGCCGACGCGGGTAGAACCGGCAGCGACAGGCGGGCCGACGCGGGTAGAACCAGCAGCGAGAGGCAGGTCAACGCGGGTAGAACCGTCAGCAACATGCTTGGAACACTCTCCCTGCGTCCAAATCGGAGGAGGCTCGGGGCCCGAAGAATATATTACTACTGCGGGAACGGTGGGCGAGACTAATGACGGAGCGGTTGAGGGTCCCCTTAAGAAATCGAGCCATGTAAGGCCGATAGGCCTGTTGGAAGCCATCGAGTTAGGGCCATCGCCTGCGGCCGACGGTTCCGCCATGGCCGCTCAGCTCGGCCGAGCATGCGGAGCTATTGAGGGATGACACAGCGTGCCAACAAACCTAGCGCTTCAACGGTACTAAAAGCAGGGGAACCGAAGAATGCAGGAAGGAACTGACCGAGGGACTAGATGGGGGTACCCCCTCTCGCGCCGCCATGAGAGGAATGTTGTGCCAACCAACTCTCGTCGTGGCTGTGTTTCGAGGCAAGATGGAGACAAGAACCATAAGAGCATCTTTTGCTGTGATTACGCGAAACCAACCTCCTGACATGTACAGTCTCTCTTCCCATTGGGTTGTCCTTAACACGGTGTTGTGGGAGTTACAGCGATGCAAATCACGTCAGCGCGCATATCCTATCTGTACAGGGCATGGAAAAAAATCCCAACTGTGTGGGTGGGGTTGTGTGAATCCCGGGCCTGGTACGGTCTGTACACGCGTACCCTATCTTGCCCCCCCCCCCCCCCCGAATCGGTTAAGTCCGATTCAGTGTAACTCACTACACTATACTGATTCTTCAGTGTTACTTGTACACCTACACACGAATTGGTCAGGGTGGTCCCTGTGGTTTATATCGAAAATTCAGTGCACATTTAAACAAGATGCTGAAATTTCAAGGAAAACGTAAATAACAGCTTCAAAATCAGCGTAATCAGTATCGTTTACGCTGATAAACAGGCCCTCAGATTGGATTCAAGGGACCCTGACCCATCAGGGCTGCCCCCCCCCCCCCCCCCCCCTCCCCCCCCAAAAAAACCCTGATCTATCAGTGCTGAGGTGCAAACCTTATCCTGAATTGTCAGTGTAATGTCTAATAGAATCCTGCCAAATCAGGGTAACATTTGTACAGATCCTGATAAGTGTTACGGTGCTTCTTCTGTACTTTACACAATAAGCTCACATCACATGAGCGAGCGTCATGCAAACGCGGCAAAGTTGTTGCGTGCGGCGTGGTTTCCTTGCAGCGGCGCTTCCTGATTGGTCTGTTTCGCAGTGTTGCTGTGTTTTTGCAGTGGCGCGCTTGTCATGCTGTACAGCGGTGCAGATTTCATGGTCACGCACATCACGCCTCGTATGTTGCGTTGTAAAACTGTCGGTGGTTCTGTACTCTAGTACCACAGTTTTTGTTTTTTCGGTACAGGCAGTTTCAGGGCATTGTTTAATAGGATCCTGAAAGATCAGGGTTATGCGTACACTAAAATCCTGATTTTACAGGAATCATAACATACAAATACTGAATACTTGGCGTCATATTTATACAAATACTGAACTTTTAGGGCTGAAGCACCATACATATCCTGAAATCAGGGCATTCAATATCTTTTATCCTGATGGCTGTGAGAAACTGAACGAGAATGATTGACTAAGGGAAAGTTGGGTACAAATGTAAACCCTAGAAAACTGTACCCCATATGTGCTACCCCACTATAGCCTACAGTAGCTATGTCATATAAATCTGACAGGCTGAGGGCCTGCTGATAAATGAGGGCATGCTCCCTCTGTAAAAGAGTCTGTATGCCTTCCTCTCCTGTTATCTCACAGCTAACTATCTCTATAGCCTATATTTCTTACAACCCTCAGCTACCCATCAAACATAGCATAAGGCTCTAGACCCCCCCTCCCTAAGGTGTAACCCGTTTCCAAACCTGTCTCTTTCACTCTCCCGTTCATCAAATTTCAGGTGGACGGACGCAGAGCGAGATGTGCAACAATCTCAAGTACTAAGGCGTTTAGAGACTAAGTTAGGTTGAATGCATTAGGTCAAGGGGGAGAGGGGGATACAAGCAAAGAGTCGAGAGATTTCTTGTATCCCCTAACATGCAACTCACTAAGCATATACATTTCTACAAACATAGTTTGACACACCCCCATAGGCTAAGTGAGGGGCATCAAAACAACTATGACAGGCATGTGGTCACAAGACCAGTCAAGAGAAGGAACACAGCAAGCTCAGGGTGGATCACGAAGTCACCACACATTCTGAGCACAAGCAATGGGCCACAAGGCCAGTTCAAGAGTTCACAGACATATAAATATATAAGTGCAGCGAGAAACAAGAGGCCAGACTACAGCAACTGCGGGCCCACCTCAATAAGCCCTAACTGCATCAGGCGGAAGAGCCTTGCTGAAGATGTCCGCAGTGTTGGCCGCTGAGGCCACAAAGTCCAAGCGCGCCTGGCCGCGTCGCTGCAGCTCTCGCAGAAAAAAGTACCTCACGTCGATGTGCTTCAGTCTGCTCTCCAGTCGAGCCTCTCGACACAGGAGGATCATGGCCTTGTTGTCAACGAACAAGGTCGGTGCAGAGAGAGGCCGCTCACCAAGTTCGGTGAGCAAGAAGGTCAACCAGCGAAGCTCCTGTGCAGCCATGGCACCGGCGTAGATCTCACCCCCGCGCTAGACTGTGCCACAGACGACGACCGAGTAGACCTCCACAAAACAGCTCCAGAGCCCAAGCTGAAGCAGTAACACTGGGTAGACTGTTGTGTCTGCACGTTGGTGTAAGAAGAGTGGCAGTGACCGGTCAGCACAGCTGGTACAAGCCCCATGCCTGATGTAGTCGCCATGTACTTCGACACCCTCACATCAGCCGTCCAGTGAGCATGACGGTGTCTCCCAGTCGCAACAAAGCGAGAAAGGATGCTGAGAGGAAAGGCGAGGTCCGGGCGAGTACAAGTCATCAGGTACATGAGGCAGCCCACAAGCTCTACGTAGGGACCACTTGACTCAAAGGGCTCGTCGAGAAAAGGGCCGGTGAGTCTGTGGT